ATAAGGCTACGATGCTGAGGCCACAAACCTGCAATATCAGAAAGGAAAAGTGTTACGTCATGCAAAGCACAGTGGATGCTCGTTATTGGACTATAGATTTCCATGCAGAATCTAAAGCGGAATAATGAACATATACACATGCCTATAACATGCCTATTGCCTCAAAACCTGTGCTTGCTCATTCATGAGCCAGTTCTAATGTACAGCCGAGTGGAAGATAAGCAGACACATGCCTGCCTATCATACGAGTTGGTTCTACCGATTACATTTCAAACGAACGTCTCACGATTGAACCTATACGTCATTTTGGACATGCTTAATATTCCTTCAGTCCAATAATGCAGTGTGTGATTTTAATTGTGGCCAATTTCAGTGAGTCCCTCACATGAGAATAAACTGTCCTGAAACGAGACAGTGTACATGTGGCAAGTAACATACAGCCACTGAGAGCACGCTCTCTGCCCTGCTTTGATGCCAGTAAAATGAACTCCCGGAAATTTCCCGCGTAATTTAGGCACCTCTGTTTTATTTGTAATTTGAGATTGATGTATTTTGTTTAATATTTCCATGTTTGAATATATCTACATTACAAATGTGTTTTTTTACTTATTCATCCTCTACTGCCTCACCATGACTAGTTACCCTAACACAATAAAATAAAAACATCTTTTAAATGTACTGTATATACAGTATATGTATTCTGTATTTATTTTGCAAAGAAAAACAACAAAAATAATCTGCGTTTACCCTTGCGGTCGCGTGAGGGAGTAAGCAGAAGGGAGGGGTGGCAGAGTGCAGTGATCAGTGGGTTGCGAGAGAATATGAGCAGTGGTGTCATGGGGAGCGTAATGTGTTCTCCGTGTGGGTGTGGTGGTGTGAACACAGAGAGGAGGTTGGGTGGTGAGTGGTTTCACGTACATTTACTTGAGTGGTGAAGGGGCTATGTTAGGGCGGAGAGATCTAAAAGCATCGCGGTAGCCTGTCTTGTATAAAGGAGCTCAAGGGATTCCGTGGAGGCCGAGTTAAAGATTTGTTTTTCGTCCAAAACTGCGGAGTATTTTTTTCTTTGCGTCTGTTGTTTACAGTTCCGTAGTATTTTGAATTAGGTGGCTGTGCAATAGATGTTCAATAGGGTGTGCGGCACGAGGGGGTAGTGAGTCCAATATGAGCTCTTAGCCCAAGGAGGCATGCTCCGAGGGTGAGAGAGTAAGAAGGATGAGCAGGGCTTTGATGAAGTGCTCTAGGATGTTACCGTTAAATGTTTGGACATATCAGGGCATTCCAGAAGGCATGCATATATGTTGTGGTCACACCAAGGAGACATCTGGGGAGAGCGAATTGCGTATTAGTTCTAAACTTGGGACCACATTGGCTTGTGCTGGAGGTACCGTGTGTCATTTTTATTGTTTGAGTTATGGCGGCTGATCGGATATTATAGATTTCCAGATTTCAGCCACAGTTGGTTGGTCTGCGATGGTTTTAAATGTTATTTTCTTTCCTAAAGCATGCAAATGTGTGACTTTTTAGAATTGTGTTGGGATAGCAGCATTGTGGGATGATGCTTATTTTGAGCCATGTGCAATTTGAGTGCAGGCAGATGCAATGCAAGTGGTAAAACGATTGAAGTGCACTCATAACCTACATGTACTCAAGGAAGCGGTATTGAGGTGGGGGGGACCCTAACCTTGGTATGTGTGAAGTCAATTATTTTAGTTGGGGAAGCTACTAATGTTATTGATGCCTGCATATTGCCAGGGATTCTAATCGATTGTGGGGTACGGATGGAGATGTAGGGTGGTGGTCATGGTCTTGTGTCTTTCACCAAATATTTAGAAGATTTGTATATGGTAGTGAGTGTGTGTGAGGATTCAGGGACCTCTTTAGCTTATGTCTATTAGAATTGGTTTGATCTATTAAAATCTTTGACAAGTTCTGTACTCTCTACAGCAGTTTCCATTACAGTATAGGATTATGATAATGTGTTAGCTACATATGATTGAAGCGAGCACCCACAGCTACACAATTTTTGTGGAAACCAGGAGAGTTAATGGCTTCATTTTTGGGAATGTTAGAATAAAATTTAGTTCAAGTTCATGTGACAGGAGATGGGACATGGGAGAAGGTAGTAGGGTATTTGTTTTCAAGTGGAGGCAGATAATTGATGGTTTAATGCATTTGACTAGTATCTATATGAGAGTCGTTCCAAGTGAAAAGGCAAATGTTAGTCACATTTCACCCTGTGTGAAAAGCACAGGAAAGGTTTCTGCCTTGGCAAGGTGTAATTTGTAGAGTGAAGCCTGGCTAAATAAACTCCAACAATGTAGGCGCTGCGTTAGATATTGTGAGTCCAATTATGAGGTCGTCATCTACAGTACTTGTAGGTTACTTTAGTTGTGCAACAAAGAGAAGACTGAAGTCTCGGTTAGTTGGGTTGTTACAATATGACTGTGCAAAGTGGTTCAGTGGAGATAGCGAAAAGGGGAGGAGAGAAAGGGCACCCTCTGATTGAATTGTATCTTCGGGAGGTGTGACAATTTGTGAAAACTGAGATAGCATCGGTGCATGAACTGATGACCAAATCCCAAGCGATACATGGGTTGATGTATGGCCTTTGTAGGCTCAATACCTTCCTCTTCTCTCCTGCATATGACTGACTGTCTCCCATCTATGAAGTATATCATACATGACACTGCAAACACATTTCCCTCTTTTCCGGTGTTTCCCGGCAATGTCCATGTCCCACTTGTTTGCACAGCATCTTGAGATACAGCTGCACGTGGAAGCTATGTGAATCCTAATTGTATTGCATTGCAGGGAGAAAAGGGCATTCTGCTCGATCAAACGCCCTTTCCTTATGCAAAGTGATCGCGTACACCTCAGTGTTTGCCCGATGTGCAATTGTTATTGTGCTCACGATTATGCCTATCATTATTGTTCGTGCGCCTTACTGCAGATTAAACAAGTAGCTTTTTTTTCTTCCTGTGCATAACGAACAACAGAACCTTTCCCCAGCTGGATTGTGAGGGCTTCTACACGTGGAAATGGGATGGTAATGTGAGCATTGGTCTGACACCGCGTTGGTTTTGTGGATTAGTAAGACCGTGAATTATTGCATGAGGGAGGGGGGTGGAGGGCACTGGCCATTATCAAATGTCCCAGAGTCTCGGAGAGTGGCCTGCACGTCTAGCTGCATGGTGTGGCTCTCATGCGAGGCCACAAGCTCCCGAGGTGTATCTGACAGTTGAAAGATGGTGGCTGGCGAGTACAATTAGACATGTGTGTTGCGCAACGATAGAGGAGCTCTATGACAGGGTCTGTTATTTGGGATCGTGTCTTAAGAAAAGACAAATTAGACCATGCAAGTGGGTGCAGGATGATAAATTCAATGGGTTTTTGATAGAATATACATAAAATACTTCTAGTTAATGAACCATTTGATGTGTAGCCTTTGTTATAATTGTTTTTTTTATCAGAATCAGAAAATGTATTCATACTGGAGGACTACGATGAGCTATAAAAACTATTTTTCACAGATGTTCAGTCGAGGTGGGTAAGAACGTTACAACAGTACAAAACACGATAGGGGTGCAAAGTACAATAAATGTAAACAAATCGCCCAAAAACACACAAATTAAACTAAACCATCCCTATCTGACCAGGCAAAGCCCACTGAGGTATTCACTTATTTTTCAGAAACGACCTGACTACAAATGATATGCCAACAAAGTGGCTCATCCTGTGGATATTTATAGCAACCCTCCAATCTCTTGCTTACCATGCGACAAAGATAAAATCACGTATAATTGCAATATGGGATTTAAGTTTATGGGACTTGGTGTAGCAGCTGGGCTCTTTGCTAGATTGGGAAGAGTCATTGTAGACTCTTGGTTATTTGTACTTAATAGCAGTCAGAGCACTTTCAATGAGCTGGCACAGTTGATTGGGTTTAGGATTGTCGTGTGCACTTTGATTTTCTAGTGTTCTTTGTGGTAAGGTTTTACCTTTCTTGTGGACAAGTTGATGCTTACTGTACAGGTGTGAGTTCTTTGTTTTTAAGATATTTGAGCTGTCTGCCTCATAAAGAGAAATTTACCTCTGAAGGCTTGGAGGGAGGAATATTGTTTATTCAGAGAGAAGGATGTGAGAATTGGAATTAAAGTTTGTTAAGATGAATTTTGAAATGGCATCTTTCAGTTGGATATGTAATTATGGATTACTGAGGAAATTGACAAGTGTATGGTCATAAAAATTATATTTGTGGATTAAATAATTTTAAAGGAATAGATGTTGATGCACTGCCTGAGGCCAGATGCATGGACAAGGTACATTTCAGGTACAAAACACTCCCAATATTTGAACAATATTTTTACCGAATGTCTTCATTTAACACGTAGGTTTTAACGACCAATATTATGATTCGTAATTGTTTTTTTGGGCTAGACCACATAAGTATAAAGACAAATGTTGTCACACACCTTCATCTGCCTGACACAGCCAAACAAACCAAGAGAGAAATTCATCTTTTCCAAATATTCTCCTCTCGGCATGTGATTAACTTCAAATCCATGTGGCAAAGAGGAATTCCATGCTATTCTCAAGAAATGCCCACATGCCTACATTTCCATAACTGGATATATCTAAACTAAACTATGTTTTATTTTACCAGTTAAGGCCTACTGAGCAAAACAGCTCTTTTTCAGAAGCGACCTGGCCGCAAAGGGTAGCTCAATGAAGTGGCTTATCATGTGTAGATTTATAGCAGCCAAATAGTCTCAAGGCACGTTTATAAATGTGTAGGGAAAAACCAGAGAACCCATATAAAAATCCAAGCGACCACGGGGAGAGAGACATGCAAACTCTAAATATACAGGCGTCAGGGTCGGGATCGAACTCACGACCTCCTGCATACCAGGCGAGATAGACAACATTTCGTCACCACCGCGCCCATTTCCGGTGGAGAAAGTGGTCAGGAGGCTGGTCAATCACCACATGGAACTGACCCAGGCCGAAGTGGGCAACGGGCTCCATCTGGCACAGATATCCAGAGCCGCCGTCGATGACGCGCAGCTGAGGGCCGCTCTGCGCTGTGTACAGCACCACCTTGGCGCCACGGGCGAATGCACCGAAGCGCGTGCGCGGCACCACGCGCAGCCAGCCATTGCCTGTGCTCTGCAAAAGACAACCACAACAGTCGTAATAATAATAATGTAGACTTGTAACATGCACACCTGTTGTACCGTGGCAAGAGAAGGCCTATTTATACAGCATTGTATTATTGCGCACGTCAATATGTTCAGGAACTAATTCAAATTTCTAAATCTGCTCGCTATGACGAGAGGGCTTCAGGAGAGAGTTCGTGTAATTTTGCCATTCCTCCTCCGTTGAAGGGAGCGCAGACTACAGTGGTTTACGGTCCATAGTTTTGGTTGCATGGCCACAATTTTACTGTGGTTTATCTTAATATTCCATTCATGGAGGAGATGTGCATCGGCCTGTTGTTGTTCTTATGCAGTTGATGGTTTCACCACTGGTGTCTTTGAGGAGGAAGAGGAATGTCAAAGGTAGGGGTTGCGACGATTGGGTCTCAAATGCGGTATACATTTCTAAAACAAAATATTTTGTGATAATGCATTGGTAGGGGTGGCACAAGCACAAATAACGAAACACTTTTCGTCAATAACGCTGCGTGTGGCTTTAATAGGGAAAATATATAATAGGAGACATTTTGATCAATGTTCCATACGTGTTATGAAGGGCGATTGCCTGAAACATCACCTTTTATAGATTTGTTTTCCTTTTAAGGCCACAGTGTTGATGGAGATGTCGAATGTTACGTATTAACATTTACAGCAGAGCAGCTGAGAATATTATTCAGATTTTTCCTATATCTAAATCAAAGTTTAATTTACAGTACCATGATTCTGTAAGATAAGATAAATGACAGAGTCATCAAATGGGCTTTATACGCTAGTGTCCGAATAGTCCCCAACAGGCTGCGCGAATTTTGGTGCAGTGTATTTGCCTGTAATAACAGCATGCCCGGCAGTATTTGGTTAACATATCCGACTACTGATGAGAACCAGAAGGTAGAAACAACCAGAGTATGCTTGCCGAAACAAATGCTGCTGGATAACATTAATCTGGGCGTGCCAGAGGCATATGGAATTGAGGTATTTAATTTTGCATGTGGAGAGATGGATGTTTATCTGGTTACTGAAGAGTTTTATTTCAGTACGGTTTTAAAAATACACATCAGATGTTGACATTGTCCGTGATATATCCAGATTGTCTTGCATTTGAACGTACAGGGACAATGTTTTCAGTGGAAAATTTAGACCTTGCGTAAAAATTACTTTATTGGCCATTTTATTTTATGTACCTCCTCTAGTGTTGCCACGCGAGGTACACAAAACTGGGTTAAACATGGGAAGAAATATATCTGACAATAGAACAAGAGGGGAGAACGACTTGTATGTGCTTTGTCTGAAGTGGTGTAATATCACACAACTGACAAAAAACTGAGACTTTTATTTTCCCCGGGAAGATTTAGAGATTTCCCAGGACAACTACTTCAAAAAGAAGACGATGCTGGGAAAACCAGGACAAGGTAAAACCCTAAACTCGTCGCCAGGAGGGGCTGCTGCAAGTGGGGGGCTCAACCTGCTCAGGGCCCCCCTGGAGATGTTAGTCAGCGAACTCCAAAGGGTGTCCCGGTGGCGAGATGTGAACTACCTCGCCTGGTATTCAGGAGGTCGTGGATTCAATCCCACCCTGACATCTGTATATTTGGAATTTGCTCTCTCTCTCCCTGTGGCCACGTGGATTTTTCTCCGGATTGAGACAGTGGCAGTAGCAAAGTGATGTACGGGCAACCATCTGGCCGCTGTGGTGTACACACTCGCCAACCAGCCAAGCAGGGCCACCTAATCTGGGCGTTTGTCTCATTCATGCCCACACTAAGACAGTGGAAGTATTATTATTGTTTTTATAAACACAAAGGCAATTTTCGCTTCTCTCTCTTGGCTAAGGTCCACCCCACAGCTGCAACATAGGAAGCCCGGGGGTCTTGCTATTTGGCACCGAACTTGGATTTGGTGCCAGCATTTTCACAGCAGGAGTGAGGACGGACTTCCTTGCCAATGTGGCGGTTGCCGCAGGTGCGCAGGCCGGTCTTAAAAAAAAAACTATTTTTATTTTACCAGGTAAGGCCCACTGAACCATATAGCTCTTTTTCAGAAGTGGCCTGGCCATAAATGATAGCTCAACGAAGTAGCTTATCGTGTGGAAATGTATAGCAGCCAAATACTCTAGATGCATGTTTCTAAATGTGGAGGGAAAAACCGGAGGATCCGGAGAAAAATCCACGCGGCCACGGGGAGAATGTACAAACTCCAAATATACAGGCATCAGGGTTTAAATTGTGATCATACCCATAAACTCCTGTATACAAGGAGAGGTAGTTTACATCTCACCACCGCGGCGCATTTTCCCAGGCACCTCAAGCAGCGACAGAGGAGATGCTCACTACCTCCTGCCCCAAGTGAAAAAAAAAATCATTGTCACCATGCTGCTGCTCCTCCTTCTTTGGGAGAAAAGTTTTAAACGGTAAAGTTATATTTTAACGAGACGCTTAGCCTAAACACTGACAGACGCAATCCAGCTAGGCAGCTGCTTGGACTGTTTTTCCAATCCCAGGATACAGAAGCTGGGCTACAGGATGCACTGCATTACAGAGACCGCAACGTTTTTGGCGATTGGCTGTTCAGTCTGGTTAGGATGGAACACGGGCGGCGAGGGAGCAGAGGGGAGATTCTGGAGGCTATAGACTGTACGACTTAGTAAAAGACTGCACCACAAATGCAGAGCCCACATATCGAGTTGTATTTGATTACAATGTTATATATTTTACGAGATCTGGCTAGCAGTGTATCTTAGTGGAAACTTCTATTTATGGAATTGGTAAGTTCGGCTTTGACACGTGACCCAGTGAGGAATGAGGGGTTTTACAAAGACCGTGCATTAGAGAGTTTAAATTGTCAAGGTGAGCGGCGGCAAAGGCATGCATAAGGCTTTCAGCAGCAGATGGAGTCAAACATTGTTGGTTGTGGGAAATATTGTGCAGAGAGAGAGGTGATGGGTTATATGGCCCTATAAATGTGAGGTGTAATGGAGAGCCAAGGATAAAAGTTGATACCAAATATTATGTACTGATAAGATAAATAACATTTATAATTATACAGGGTGTCCTATACAGTCCTTATCTATTTTATTGAAATCAAAGCAATGTATGGTAAATAATTAGCAGAGGTATATTTGATTTGAAGCTTTTGTGACTGCAGGAATCCATACTCTTTGGTTCTTTCAGTAAAGTCACGTAGGTAGAAAAATAAAATAAACAAAAAATAATATATTACGACTTTTTGATCGCAACACAAGCGGTCGTCCTCAGGTGGAAAAAATAATCCAGCAGTGGAACTACTGAACCAGCGAGAGAGCTGTTACAACAAGAGGTTATTTATGTGGCGATGGGCAAGCAAGCGGGGTCTGAGCTGGAGAGGAATTCCATCCCCGGACGCAAGCACGTCATTTGTGTTAATGGGGGAGATTAGGGAGAGAGATTAGGGAGAGAGATTAGCATGAAATGAGCTTCCGTCGCCGCTTAAGAGTATCATCCCCGCATATGCGCACAACAGCAGTGTTAATGAGAGATTAGCACCATGAGAGTGCAATCCAAAGGACAGAGAAGGGGGAGGGAGAGAGGGGATGGGGAAGGGGGGAGAAAGTGGGACTCTGCAGCAGCACTTGAGTCACTGGGGGAGAGATCTAAGAGAGAGGCACAGAGAGAGAGAGCCACAGAGAGTCGGAAATAACAGCTGACATAGGCAGGTAGGATGGAAACATCAGTCAGTTAAGACTTTACCTGGTTAATAACGTCCTTCCAATGATTGCTCAACTCACCTACCTACAAACTGGCCCTGCTTCCATTCACGGGAAAGACCACCTCAGCAGTACTTAATTCAGCTCATATGGTTTCTCTAATCAAGGATATTTCACTGTCTCCAGATGATTTGCTTGTCAGCTTCGATGTAGTATCTCTGTTCACCAAGGTACCTGTACCTGACACCATAGCAACCATTGGAGACTTAGTCCAAAAGGGACTGAATCCTGATGTACCAACTTTTGTGAGGCACTGCCTTACCAACACTTAATTCATCTGGAATGGAACATTCTACAAACTAAATTAAGGTACCCCTATGGGTTCTCCCTTATCACCAGTGGTAGCGAATGTTTTCATGGAGAAATTTGAGACGGATGCCATCCAGACATCCACGCTAGGTCCTTCCTTGTGGAAGAGATACGTAGAGACACGTTCGTCATCTGGCCACATGGCCAGCATGCACTGAACCAATTTTTCAACCACATCAATTCTATACACCCATCCATCAAATTCACCATGGAAGTGGAAAAAGATGGCAAACTACCATTCCTGGATGTTTTGATCGAGAAGAGACCTGATAGCTCGTCTGGACACTGTCTACAGGAAAGCTACCCACACGGATGCCTATCTAAAGCCTGACTCCCACCACCATCCAGCCCAGAATAATTCCCTCATCAAAAGACTACACCATAGGGACCGTTGCATCTCTGACCAGCACCACCTAGCCAGTGAGTTGGAGTACGTACATCAAGCCCTCAGGATGAATGGATACTCTGACTGTACAATCCGCAAAGCTGTCTCCCCAGCCACGGGAAGACAACCGTCTGACGATTCAACCAAAACCATCACTTTACCATACATAGCAGGGGTTACCAAAAAGATTTTCAAAATCTTAAACAAACACAAGATCCAGGTTCGTTTCAACACAGTACACAAAATCCGTGATTTGATCCCATCTGTAAAGGATGTGATTCCTGACATGCAATACCCTGGTGTCTACAAACTAACTTGTGGTTGCAGCAGCAGTTACATTGGGGAAACAAAACGACATGTCTCGGACCGCATTCGTGAACACAATGCAGATCTGAAACACGGTAGGACTAATACCTCTGCCATTACTGATCATTGTTTTAACGCTGTGGGCTCACACGAAATAGATTTTTTCTCAAGACGAAGGTACTCTGCAAACCCACCGGCTACCTTCAGAGATTTGTTCATGAAGCCATCCAGA